ATATAATATATATATATATATATATATATTGTTTCCACCAGGAGAGAGGGGAACGGCGTCAGTTGCATGTAGCACAATTTTATGCTTTTTCGTCTCTACCGCTCTGGACCACATCCAGGACCCCATTTAGAACATCGATAAACAGTTGAGTAATTGTATTACCGATCATTAAGAAAGAACCGAACGCGCATGCACACAAAGAATAAATACGATAGTACACCAATGTAAAATGCGTATAATAATACATGATGAATATATGCGGAGAGTAGTTTGATGGTTGCGAACAATATATTAGCAGCAATATGTCTGCATGCTAGTAGCAGCCGCAATACAATAGACAACTAATAAAAGAGGGATAAGCGCCGTTGCCGGTTTTGTCTCGTTGAATTTGTTAACATTAAACAACAAAAAAGAATTTCCAAAGGAAAAAACAAAAAAAAAAATAAAAGGACAAAAACGCCAAGAAAAATATCTAAAGGCCTGCGCTGTAAGGATAGAGCTGCTAGTGCTTGGGGCTGGGGCCTAGGGTTTGCTGTGAAGGGGCGATTGAGACTTAAGTTGTCCTCCGCTGTCGCTGAAGCACCAAATGCAGTACGCACATCTTCAACGCGGCTCTGCATGCTCCCTTCATTTATGCTAACGGTGTCTGTTGATTGAAGTGTATTTACACTGTATATATGCTACACAGGTGCACCAGCTGCCCTTTACTTCCGCTGCAAGTACACTCGGCTGGCCGATATGTATGAATATAACTCAAGGATATCGCATGTGGAGGCAATAAAAAGCTTTAAATCGAGTCGGTAGAATCATGAGACCAAGTACCAGGACCATGACGTGAACCCCCCCTCCTCTCTCTATACGCCCTAGACGCCACGCAGTACTAATAGAAATCTTGAAAAGATATGACTCTGTGAAGAAAGAACGGCCTAAAGCGAAAGACAAAAGTGCACAGTTTGAGGCAAGACTTGAAAGTTAGGGGTTTACGATTAAGGGTTCAGAGCAAGGGTTCAGCGTCTAGGGGTTCGGGGTTAGCCTTTGGATCCCATCACCTGAAGTTTTCATTCTCGACGTCGATAAATGACTCATCGGGTCCGTGGTAGGTATTTGAAGTGACCGAGAGACCTACGCACAAATCCTCAATCCCAAACCCTAAACCGTAAACCCTTACACGGCTCTCTTTACCAGTGGATGGTTTGGTTTTTGAAATAAATCCGCTGCCTCGAATTTCCCAGTTGCGGCTTTGGGTTTGGCGCTTGTCTCTTCCGGTCAAGAGACTAGGCTCTAAGCACCAAATTTCTTGGGGGTTTAGGGTTTAGGGCTTTTCTAGTTGCATATAAGCTGCAGCCCAGCGGTATGGACCCCAACCCATCTAAGGGCTTGCGATACAGGTTCTCATACCGAATTCAATACAAGGGTTTAGGGTTTAGGGCTGGGCGCAAACCTCCACAAGCCCACAGGGTTTAGCGTTTAGAGCCTGCCTACTGATCCACTTGAGTTTTGAATTCCAGCGTCCTCCTCTGACGTGTGCAAGCTGCAGCACAGCGGTGTGCAGCGGGGAAGGGGGGCCCCTTGCGGGAGGAAGGAGGCCCGAGTGCTGCTCACCAGCTGAAGCACGGTTGCCACCTTCTAAGCTGCTGTTGTTGCTGCTGTTTCTTTGGGGGCCCACAGGAGGCCCTGAGGCCCCTGTGACAGTTGCAGCTCCCCGTATTCGCCCCCCTCCCGTTCTTTGGCTCCTCCTCGGCTGCGACGTCCTCGAGTTATCTGCTGATGCTGCGGAGGGTGCAGCAGCAGCGGGAGCAGCAGGAGCAGCAGCCTTTCCTGAGTACTCTAGAGTGACTGTATTTGCAGTTGCATTGAAGCTGAAAGATCCTACAACGACCTGCTCTGGAAGGGAGGCCCCCAACAGGGCAGGGGCCCTGGTAGGCGCGAGCGCCGCCTTGTAGTAGTCACTCTGCAGTACAGCAAACGGCAACAAATCGTCATACTTAACTGCAAACCTTAAAACCTCTAGCAAAAGTGGAGTAGATACAACCTACCAACCGAACGTCTAAACCCTAAACCCTAACCCCTAAACCATAGCAAGTAGACGCTCACTGATCTCCCCTCGAGGCGCGCTTGTACGCACTTCAGTGCCGTCACTGCCTGTTGTTTTTCAGCTGCCGATCTGAAAAAACAAAACTAAAGAAAAGTAAAAAAAGAAATAGAGGATCGTCAGCTGCAAACCCAAAGAACTTCTATGCAAGCAGCATCCAGGCCTTAAGAACATAGCACGCAACACAAGAATTTGTCAGCACTGGCAGCTGCAGCAACAGCGGCTGCAGCCCCACCAGCAGCAGCAACGCGCAAACGAGGAGAAGCTGCAGCACTGGCACGCTAGCAAAGCCGACAACCCGTATCCAGAACCAGCAACAGCAGCAGCAGCAGGAGGGCGTGTGACGTGTGACCTGAGCACGAGGACTTTGTTGTTGGGTAGGAAGCGGAGGTAACGGTAGTAAGTGACAGCTATGACGGGCGAGTTTTCTGCAAGGTTGTCGATAAGCTCCTGGCTAATGGGGGCACCTGTGGGTTCCTGCAGCTGCTGCTGCAGTTGCTGCTGCAGCTGCTGCAGCGTTCTGCGGCGGCGGTCGTCCAGGTGTATATTGCCTAGGTCGCGGACGCGGCGCAAGTAAACGCATTTGCTTATGTAGATTCCGTCAAGTCGAAGGCGAGGGGCCTCAAAGAAAACACTAAAAAAACAGAAGCAAAACATAAAAACAAAAAAAAAACGTAAACAAAAAGAAAACAAAAACAAAACAGAACATACACACAAAAGCACAAACAACAACGGCAAAAGACTAAATCAATACACAACCACAAACACCGCCCACGACTGCAAATGCATAGTGACCAGTGCCCAAGCACCAGAACCCGCAGCACAAGCAGCACAGCAGCAGCGGGAGTAGCAGCAGCAAGGGGCCGAACCGTTTCCATGATCCTCCATACAAGCAGCAGTCGGGTGTTTGCTGGCTAAAGGCGATTTTTGCCTTTTCCCTCCACATTGCCTCTGAGCTCCACAAAGTCTCATAGAAAGCTTTGCAAGTCATACACAGCCTACAGCAGCGCAAGACACAAAACATACACATAAGCAAACATCTATGCATGCACCACGAGCACTCTATCTTTATATTGAGGTAACTCGCTGGACGACTTCCTCGCTTGTTATGGGGATAGTTAGCTGGCTAGCTAGGTTGCTGGTTGATGCGGTACAAGAGAGAAGACACCGACTTGGCTGCTGCATAAACATCAAGAAGAAGAAGAACCCGCTCCAACACTGCCTCAGGCACACTCATTATTGGACCAGGCATCTCTTCTTCGTTTTCTTCTTCTGCTGTTCCTGCTTCTTCAGTGTCTTCCGCTTCTCCTGTTGCTGCCTCTGGTAAGGATCCTGCAGTGCCCTCCTCTGCGGCTGCTTCATCCCCGTCGTCAGCACGCTTCATACAGTTCCCACAGCCGCCGCTGCTGCTGCTGTTGCTGTCGTTTCTGTCATTGCTGTTGTTGCTGCTGCTGCTGCACGTGCAGCGGCAGGGTTTGCTTGCAGGTTTAGCTGCATCGTTAGCACGGTTGTTGGTGCTTCCAGGTTTGCTAAGACGGAGATCCCCATCAGCCTCCAAGGCACGGATGCTGTTGCTGTTTTGTCTTTCTCTGTTTCTTTCTTCTTCCTCCTCTTCATCTTCGTCTTTAAATCCCAACAAACCAATGCCTAGAGCAGGGTCAAGTTTAATAGCCTGTCTGTACAACCCAATGGCTCGGGCTAGGCGCCCTTGTCTCTCAAACTTCATTCCTTCAGAGACAAAAAAAAGGAAACGCCCCTTAATTCACGAAAAAAACAAAATAAACATGAAATTAATGAAACGAAACAACAAACAAAACAAAATACAACCATAAAGGCGCGGCACCACATACGCGGAGGATTGGACTTCTTAACACAGGACAATACGCCTGCAGGTCAAAGCCCTGACACTTGTACGGCTATTATCATCTGCTGTTTAACGATATACAGGAGATGAGACTATTGATGGGGGAGAATAAAGGGCGGGTTTTACTCCTTTTACTATATCAGAATCTATGGAGAGTTTAACGCCCGCTCTCCGTGCTCGTAGAGTTTAGGGTTTGTGTGTTGCACCTGCTTTGTAGATAGCAGCGGCCACAGAAGAGACGGAATTTTGTACAGCGTCCGAGGATTCGCCGGGGGAAGAAGCGTCTTGAGCACTGGGGCTCTCTGAAGGAGAAGGAGAGTAGATATGTGTGGGGGCTTCATGCGGATCTGCCGGGAGGGAGCCGTCGGGTGTCTGGGCACCCGAATCCGTGTTATTCATTGTGAGAAGTGGTGGGAGGCTATGCTGGGACTTAAGGTAAGAAACAATACTTAGTCATTCAGAGACACGTGAGGGAAGAAAAAACTCAAAAAAGGACAAAATCGCCGAAGACAACGCTGATGGTTGATTGGAAGCCCTTTAATCTTCTTTTTTCGGCGTTTCCTAAACCGAGAAAAATATTTTTAGACTTCTACAAATGTGATTATATTTAACGACATGTTCATATTTCCTTTTATTACTTCTGCGCCCCCCAGAATACCCTTCCTGCTTCTACAGCCGCAGTATATTGGCTGTGTGACAGCAGCCGCTCTTCTGTTGAAAGGGCTCGTTGATCATTTTAACGAATATAACTGAAACCACAGAAGCTATTTATTATTAATTTTTCAGGAAATATAAATATAAACAAGTAAAAGATCGATGTCTACTAATTGCCAAGAGCGGCGGATGTACGCATTCAGGGGCTGAAGCCAAAGAGGGGTTTGCATACAACGGCAACGGTGTGTGCACGTGAGTGTCTTTGTTTAGTACATCTTCTATCGATATTCCTTTAATTAAAGTGTGTAAGTACGAATTTTATAATTATTGGGGTGTTATAAAAAATAATGTTGTGCCCAATATTATATATCCCGGAAATCCTGCAGTGCCTTAAGCATACATTGTCTAACACCCTGTATGTGTGTGTGTTTCTACTGTATATGGTTTGTCTTTGCTGTTATTTACATGTACACATCGGTTGATATTTCACTCTACCCTTTGTCTGTCTGTTTGATTACTCCTTTATTTACTTACTTATGAATATGTGCATGTGCCACTTAGAAGAGAAGGAGCCTTCCAAGAGGAAATGCAACGCCAACGCCAAACCCTAAACAGTAAACCCTAAACCCTAGACAATAGGCCCTAAATATCAAGGGAAGAAGTGACACGACGACTACTAGTAAATCACATAAACGCTCTGAAGCACTCCAGTACTCAAAACTACTGAGCCCCTGAAAAATGCACCAAATCATGGACAGTAGTAGAAAGCAGTAAACCATAAATCCTAAACCCCTGCATCTTACCTAAGCCCTAGGGCAGCCACCATGGGCGCTGTCTGTGAGCGTTAAGGCCAAATCCTAAACCCTAAACCCTAATCCCTAAAAACCAAGTTTCTGTAGGTGTTGACTGAGAGGTAATGCGACTGGCTATACGAGGTTAAGTAAGTCAAGTAGAGAAGTAAACGCATTAACAAAGAAGAAAAGGCATTAAAATACCAAAATAGCAGTTGAAGACCCTAAATCCACCAGAAAACAACTAGTCGTCACTGAAGGGTTTGACGGCGACAAAAGAGAAACAAAAACCCAAAAAAGCAGCAAAAGCAAATGCAGAAAGGAGGACAACAATGCGCCAAAGAAATTTGCTATAACCAAATCAACTTTGTCTCGGATTATGCATGCATGCAGTCCATGCATCCATGCATATGTGCTCTGAGTGGATACACTAACAGGTCTATTCGCCTCTTCCCTCACATACTGCCGACGTCTAAGTTGTCCAATGCCTGCCGCGTTGTTTTCTCTTCTCCAAAGGACGTGCCGTCAAGAAGATACCCAAGAGGTATTTGACTTGAAGCACAGACGGGAGAAGCCTTGTCTATATATATGCATATATACAATATATATGCATAATACTATATACTTATATATATATATATATATATAT